TTTGAGTCCAGGATTAAAAAAAAAAAGCTTAATTGGATTTGTAACCACCGCCTTTAAATAAGAATAAAATATGAAGAAAAATTCAAAGTTAACCACACTTGAGGTTTTCTAAGTCATGGGTTTGAAGGGGTCTGCATAACTTAATTTAAACCTTTGAAAAAAATTAAACTTTACGACAATCCTGCGATCACCTCTGTTTTATAGCGAAGAGAACTGAAGCACAAAGAGGTTCAAAAAACTTGCCTAAGACCATACAGCTAGTAACTAGCAGAGCTGGGACTTGAACCCAGGTCTACTTCAATCTAGTGCCCCCTTCTCTCCATCCCATCCTGTGTGGACCAATGGCTCCCATACTGCTCTCTGACCATAGACCTATCCTGGCAGGAGTAAGCTAGTATGGACAACTGGCACAAGTCTGTGGCTGGGCCCGGGCAAATTCAACACTGGTCCTAGAAAATACTGACAGTGATGTCTTCAAAGAACAAATGTTGACATCATGGACGCCATTTAACGTGTCAGTCATTCTCATGAATATTTAGTAATATAGGTATTGAGAAGATAAAACAATTAAAATAAATATCTGGAATTAAAGCATAAAATTTGACAGCAGAGGAAAGTAGAGAAGAGTAAATATGTGTGAAGATAACAATATAAAAGTTAAGATGTTTACTTTTTAAAGGCTGTACATAACACTAGCATATATAGTCTTTAATATTATACTCTTTTTCGTGTACATGTGTCATGTATTGTCCAATCACCAAGACTATAATCCCTGAGACCAATCATGTATTTTTTTAAAAAGGGAATAAACATTGAAATCATAGGTCAGGAAAGGTTATCTAAGCCTATTCTCAAATTGCTTAATAGATTTGAGCAAATACATTAGGTTACAGATGCTTACAGTGGATATAAGGAAGAAAATTAACATAGTAAAGTGATTTATTTAACCTTTGATCTAGTACATTTGAAGGAATTGGCTGGTGGGTTTAGAAGTGTGTAAACATACCATTAGAGAGTGAAAAAAGGGGAAGTCAGTTATAACTGAATAGGGGTGTGGTCTGCTTAGGCTAAGGAGGAATAGATATAGTTTCTTACAGCACTGATATAACTATGTAGTCTTCAGAACTGCCATTTTAGCTAGTACACATGTTCTTTACAGACCTATTAAGTATGTCTATTAATACCAGCCACCTTGGTGAGTTAGAGAAACCACAGCCTGTGGATTTGGGCATATGCACTCTCTGCCTCCATCTAATTCTCTAGGTAACAATATACCTACAACTCCTGTAATCCTAGAGCAGTTACATGGATGCACTAAGTGGTGTGATGGGAGGGAAAGATAGCATCACAAGGATTCGTTTGATTATAACAGTAATCCACACCAAGTCAAATAAAGTAGCCCAACAGTTTGAAATGTGGTCTCTAATGAATTTGCTAATTATAGCAGGCCCTCGCGAACATTTCCTGCCAGAGTAGCCCATATCGAAATGAAGTAGCTGTACTTTAATTACATGGAATAATTATTTGATTTCCAGGAAGTTAAGACAGTGCTTTGTATTTAAATAAAAAGTTCTAGACAAACTGTGAAACTCGATCAAACCAAGAAAAAGGGTGAAACTGAATGCCTGTTCAGTAAGTAAAGACTTCAGCTGCTCAGCAAGCCAGACGTTGTTAGAGCTCGTAAGCCCAAAAAAGGGTAATTTTAAAACCGGCTGACTGGATCATGTCACTTTCTTGTAGGAAAAGCCCTGCCTTTCCAGCGATCTAAAGTGTAATGCAACCATACGCTGTTGCAGGGCTTGAATCGTGGCTGCCTTCGCCCCTCTGCACCAGCAGAAACCCCAGTTTTCACGGGACGGGACCTCACACTGTCGCTCTCACTTTTGAAGGTCTGTTAAAATTCTGGGGCCTCTTATCTCAACCGCTGTGGCAGTGAGTTTGGGGTAAGAAGGGGGGGGAGGCCTGTGAGTGTCTCTTTTGCCTGAGGAGTTGGAGACACTTGTGGAAAAGTCAGGCCCTTTTCGCTCCGGCGGCCGCTCCGGTGTGGGGCTGGCTTGGGTTAGACACATGCACACATACACCATAGAGCTCTGCTTTCCCGTAGCAGCTGCTGCCTCTGCCTCTGCCTCTCCCGCCTCAGCCTCTTTGCCCGGCATACACACACATTCAGATTTGCGCGCTGTTTCAATCCTTGGTGACGTGTCCCCGGAGACAACCAATAGCAAACGGGCTCTGGTCAGGACAATGGGAGGTATCGAGCCAATGAGCAAGCCCCGTGAGTTGGCGGTAGCCAATAGGAGCCGCGCTGGCTGGAGAGTAATGTTACAGAGCGGAGAGAGTGAGGAGGCTGCGTCTGGCTCCCGCTCTCACAGCCATTGCAGTACATTGAGCTCCATAGAGACAGCGCCGGGGCAAGTGAGAGGCAGACGGGCACCGGGCGACTCTGTGCCTCGCTGAGGGTGAGTCTGGGGCAGCGCCGCGGCGGGGAGAGCGCCTCCGGCAGCTCCCCACCCCGCGCGGCGGCCGGGTCCCCGCGGCCGGGAGCCGGCGGGTCAGGATCCACACAAAGGCAAATGAGGGGGGACCGTGGGGGGAACTGCGCACGGAGCGAGCCTCTTCCCCGGCGCCGGAGCCCTGCCCCGCGCCGGAGCCCCGGCCCACAGGCTGCCGGAGGCGCTGCGAACCCCGAGCCCCACGAGTTTCCACCCCCGGCGGCGTCCGCGCTGACTGGCGCAAAAATATTTTTTTTCATTAAAAAAAATTTTTAACGTGTTTTCGGCCCCCGGGCCGAGTGTTCGGGCGGCCGGCGTGCGCGGGGGGCGGCGGGGCCGGCGGCGGCGGCTGCTGCGGGCGGGCAGGCGGCGGCGCTTCCCGGGCTGCATCGGCCGCCGCAGAGAG